ATAAGTATTGTTAAGTTTCCGCCCGTTCTAACGTGCTCTATAGCTAGCTGAAAGCTTTTTTCAGTCCAAAAACCTTTTTGAGAAGTCCTTATATAATTTCTATGCATATCCTGCAATAAAACGAGAAAAACAAAAATTCTACTAACAAAAAATAGGCATGTTACTTCAAAAAAAATGTGGCATCTTTTGGGATATTTTGGGGGTAAGATGCCTAGTAGAGTCACGTGCTCCAGCATGTCCGATCGGGATCGGCGGTAGCTGACAATGGAAACTTTAGAATCTTAACTACATCATACATTAATTGTTTTTCGCAATTTTTAATAAATTCTATTTTAACTTTTAGTTTAAAATTACTCTAAAAGCATTTTACAACAAAAACTTCGTTCTTATCTAGCTTTTATTTTTCTCAGATGCAGAAAATGAACTTACGGTAGCCAACTGCAGCTTTCCGCACTCAATATTGGCCCAACGATTCATCATACAAATACATGACAATATGTGACGTCACCGTTTGAAAATATCAAAAATTAGGCATCTTCCCCCGCTTACCATCTTACCCCGAATCANATACTTACCTTCAAAATTTATTAAAACAGAATTCTATATCATATGAAACTAATTCAGTAATATTTCAAGATCATTTTTCAATATAACAAATACTTTTGAAAAAAAAAAGTTATATGAAAAAAGTTATGTATATATTAGAATAATAAGTCAATGACCTTTACTAAACCTCTAAAAGACATTTTAAACATCCACATAGTTGTCTAAATGGTTGTTCATTGCAACAAATTTTACTATCTCCTTAAATCGATTTTTATATATTTTGATGTTAAACTTGTGAATTTTTCGAAGATTTACTTTTATCTAGTTATTTCTAAGTCAAACTTTTTGTCAAAGACAAACTTTTAAATAAAAATACTTACTTTCTGAAGACGATTTTCTTGTATAAGAGGTTCTTGCAAAAGAAGTTCTNACAATGAATTTTAATCACGGAATTATAAATTGTTAAATTGATGAGATATATGAAATACGAGAGAAACTATATTATTTTTATTAACTTTGAAATTTTATATTATTTATTAGTTTCCAAATATGACTTCGAATTTTGAAGAAAATTATATCAATGTGATTATATTTAAAAACGTAAAATTATTTGAAAACTTTGGTAAAAACAATACTAGAGAAGAGTAAGAAATTTTATACTTTTTAAATCGATTAAATAATATTTTAAACTTTTGTTTGAAGTTTTTTTTTTAATTTTATATCCGCAGATTCATAGATGATTCAACAATGATTTTATCTCCAAACTATCATTCAAGATTTAATAAAGTTTGTAAGATTTAAAACTCATTTTTAAATCGATTAAATCCTTGCAATTTCTATAGCTTTTATATATATACATGTAAGAATTTAATTATATTTCAGTTATGACTCAATTTTCTCAAAGTAAATCCATATTGAATATTAATTTCCCTATGTAAGTAACCTAAATAAATTTGTTATATATNTTTCTACCAATTCCTTTGAAATTTTCACACAACGCTGCATTCGAATATGCACGTGTTTTTATATAATATACATGTCGAAATTCCCCCCACTGGGGGGAGATGAACAGGATTAAGGTTTACCGTAAAGAACTCTGCTTCTCTTTCTACTATTTTAGATGCGGTTTTTTGCGTTTTTGATTGCGTTTTAATAGGGTATGTCAACAGAATATACACTAAAAAGGGATTTTTCGATATTCTCCCCGTGGGGAGAGGGACAGGATTAAGGTTTACCTTGAAGAACTTGGCTTCTATTATACTATTTTAGATGCGGGTTTTTGCGTTTTTGATTGCATTTTAATAGGGTACGCCAAGAGAATGTACACTAAGAAGACATTTTTCGAAAAATTCCCCCCTCCCACACGGGGAAGTGTTATACATTTATAATAGATACATTTTGAGCCACAACAACGCGTGGCGGGGTCTGCTAGTACTAATTAAAGCTGGAGTTAAGACTCAAAGGATTATAGACCCAAAAGCAGGGAAAGGAAAGAAAGGATAAAAGATAAAGAAGTGAGAAAGGTTGGAAAATTAAGGGTCAATATTTGCATGACAGATGGTCTACTTAACCTTTCTCACTACTTTTTATCTTTTGGCCTTCCCCAGAATTTGAGTCTATACTCCTTTGAATCACAACTCCAGCTTTATTTAGTATACCTTCCTCATTCACACATTTCCAAGTATTTGAAAATATTTCCTTTCCACTGAAAAATAAAATATGTATAAAAGTTTATGGCTTTGTAAAACTTCTTTTTTGAGTTTATGTACTTTTTCTCAGTTTACTTGTACAAAGCCAGGGCCCCACACTCGTGAACTTTTCCGCATGGCAGACCCTTGCTTCGAAGTCGATACGCTACTGTGTCAGGACAATAAAACCAGAATACCCGTTAAGTAGACTTAATTCGTTTACTTCTCTTAATGTTACCAACGTAATTACAATAAACGGATGAAATTTTATTATATTAATTAAATACATAGTATATTGATTATTTTATCAATTTTAGGATATAATGAAACCACGGGGGATGAGTGGAAAAAGAATTATTTTAATGAAAACTTGGGAGGATGTCCACACTTCGATGAAAATTGGGACGAATATAATTATAATTTAGAAGAAAATTTCGCAAAATTTATTAAATTATCTAAAGACACTTTGATTTCGGTTGAACCAGACGTTAGAAACACAGAAAGAAATATAATTACTGTAAGTTTGTATTATAACTTTATTAACTATAAGTAATGTAATTTCAATAAATAAATCACATTTACCCATTTGCAGATTTCGGCTCCAATTATACCAATAGAAAATCAAATTAAAACAAATTATTTCGATTCTAATAAATGGATAAATGCTAGTTCTTCGCTAACATATGTAAGTATTTAAATTAATTACTACATCATTATTGTTTTACTATTTACAATATATTAATAAACAAATTTGTCTACTCGAGGAAAATTACGTAAACAACATAGAACCTGATTTTATGACTGTAGAGGAATTACAGAAATTTATTCCAGAAGTATTTACTTTATTTTTATAATTTTTTAAAGTAGTTTTGGCAAAATGATAATTAAATTACTTGCGTGAATTTTTAGATTAATTGGGAGAATTTATTCAATTACATTTTTGAAGATGTCGACTTACCTGAAAAATCAAATATAACTTCTCAGACAGAAATTATGATATGGAGAAAAAATAATTTATTAGAGTTTTTCGAGGTGAATAAGACGAACAGTTTTAAAAGGTAAACCAGATATAATAAAAATTCATTTTAAAATTTTGTATTTACGTCTCATGCAAGTATAATTTTAGAGGTAATTAGAAACAATTTTACAGTGTTTTAGCCAATTATTTCTGCAAATCTTTCTCTGAGTCGATCGTTGCTTACATTAATAGCACATCGGATATTCTTGACATAATCAGAGAATACACTTATTTCCTGGATTATATATATTATCAACATGTGAAATATGATGTAAGTACACTTTTATAAGATTTTTTACAATTTGAACAAAACATTTATAAATAAAAAAGTATTAATTTTCTGTATTTAATTTATATATAAAATATTTTCTTTTCTTTCAATACGTATTAACTAAATGCTTCTCTTTTTGCGGGCGATTCTCGTGGACGAAAACTTGGCGTTTAACTTTGGGCGTGTAGAGCTGTAACCAGGTACTGGGGGTAGGAATAAACTTTGTTTAGCGGAGTTTTTGTATTTGGTCCGGTTTTCTTATTCTTCCATATTTAGTGATTCGTAAGCGAGTTAATTTTAATGATGTCTCTTTATTTTCTTATATGACCAAGAAGTGGATCCTCTTGGCATTCTTCTAATTTAATTTTAGTGCAACTTCCAATCAGTGCGGTACTACTTCTAGCGCTGTCTATTTCATTTACTTATTTCCATATCGCCGACAAACTTTCCATACTTCGATTCAGGGACGGCCCTAGGGCGGTGCGAACGGTGCGACCGCACTGGGCGCCGTCATAGTGGGGGCGCCGAAAATGCAACGATAGATCGTCCGCGAAAAATATAAAACCCAATCACCTTATTACTACTTAACCATACCGCCAAAATAAATACCAAGATTAAAGAAACCAATACCCCGCGTTTCTTTACGCAGTGCTTGAGAAGCGCTTTACAGCGAACACACTGAAACTGGTTTCTAATTGGCCAACACTGCTCGTGACGTCATTTCGCTACACTCTCGCTGCATAAAGAAACACGGGATATTTGTACATTTATTTCCTTATTTCCTTTTGTTCTCTGTTTTTCTAGAACTTTCTTTTCATTTCCTTAATTTCCTTTGGGTGGGACTACCAATTCCAAGAACTGAAGACAATGGACCACCAGTTCCAAGAACATAAGGTTCGAGGACCGATAAGAGAAAAAGAACGTGTTAGTCGTGACTGGACCTCCGTGGGTGTGTCAGGATAGACTGTCAGATCTAGCAATTTTATCTATCGAAAGTAGTATTGCCCAGGAATTAAATTATTCTGAATTAATAATATTTGCAACCGCAAAAGCGAGGAAGGTGGCAATGTAGGCTTTTTATTTTTTATTTTTTCTTAATTTCTTTCAATTTTAAATTAATTTACGATGTAAATTTGTCTTTTGCGTGAGATGAGCGTTGTCTGTGCCATAGCAGTTTAAATTGTTATGAATATTGCCTTATGAAAGAAATATTGTTTTTTTTTCACTGTTATTGTTCCTCATCCATACCAGTACTATGCTATAGACTTTACACAAGAGTGAGCTGGGTTGTGAGAATATAAAACATGATGCTGAAATGTGTGCTATATCTCCATAACCTAAAATTAAGAGCTTCCATCGACAGAGGGGAAAAAACGTCAATAGCTTGCGATACGTCTGAATTAACAAGGGTCAAGTTAACTCTCCATTTACCGTCTTATCATTTCTCATCCATAGTATTACTATACTAATCTTTCGGAAATCTGAGTTATTAATAATGTGAAAAATGTACAGTTTAGTCACTACACGAGAGCTCCACAATGAGATCTCGCACCACCTGAAAACCTGGCTAGGACCGCCACTGCTTCGATTGCATCCTTCAAAGTTATTATAAAACAAGCGAAACAACACAAACTACTTTCCCAGATATAACCATTTTAGATTTTATTCTATGGGATCGCTTGAAAGTCCTGTGTATGATGCCTACCCGACACTGTCGGGTGAAATTGACGAATTGAAAACATGCATACAAGAAGTCTGTAAAATGGTGGAACCTGGAAGCTACTGAACCCGCCACGCTGTACTGTCCACGTTTTGGTATTAGTTCTGACGGTGGACGTTTCGAACATATTCTCTAACAAAATAAAGCTCACTTCATTTTATCGATTTCTGCGATGTTGTCTTTAGCCTTTACAGTAAGAGATTATTTGCGTGTTATATTTTATGATAAATGATCTAAATTAATTCCCTTTCGTTATTTCCAAACTGGAATAAACATGCACTAAATGAATACATTTCTGGAATGTTGAAAAGATCTCTTTTGCCTCTGCATAGATGTTTAAGTAGACACCGTGTTTACATAGAAGTGATTAATTTTACCATATTTTACAGAGAAATACTATCTCTAATTTAGCAGTATGTTATTCATTATAAATGATTGTACATTGAATTAAATTAGAAAATGTTGATTTAAAAAACATACTTAATATAACCACGCAAAATGTTAAATTACTTGCATTTTTACAAATATTAATTAATTTAATTTAATTTAACAAAGTATGATTTATACTTAATTATAAATAATGTAGTTTAAATTTCTAATTTCTAAGAAAAAACCAGATCTTCTTGAGGAAATTACTGAACATATTCATGAATTTATGTCAAATTCATTGAGCAATAAAACTTGGTTGGATGACGACACGAAAACTCAAATCAACGAAAAAGTAAGTTTTAGAAGTAGACACACTTTCCTGTTTATTTATATATGTTACCGACAAAGTATGAAAAGCCGGCATTCTATAGAATACCTAGGCATTGTATATAATGCCTGGCGTTTTTAGGCAATCTATGAAATATGAGAATTATTACATACTTTCCCTAGGCATTGTATATAATACCTAGGCATTCTATAGAATGACAAATGCTATTTAGGCAAAGTATGAAAAAAGGTTCTGATAAGGCTATTATATAAATGACGTGCATTCCTCAAAAATACAAATGTTATTCTGAAAAAATAATGAGAGTGCCATTAAAAAAATTTATTCAAAATACGTAAAGAAAAATGAAAGTTGTACAAAACAAAATTTATGCCTTTCTTATTAAGGGAAACAAAATTTTCATATAAAAAATTACAATTAACCTACTTGTTGCAACATGGTAGGCTTGAATGACATTTTGAATTACATTTCATTACATTTTTCACGCAAAGACATTTCATATTTTGGCACTTTGTTTTACACATACATTTGACGAATCCTTGGCCGCTTCCACTGGACTGAGCAATTGCAACTGACCGGAGAGGAATTTCATGGTCAGGAATATCTTCAATTCTAAGCAAGTTCTTGGGGCATGGAGTGAATTGTGATCTCGCATATACTTGTTTTAAAATTCCTTCAGAAGTTCCAAGTCGGTAGAAACCATCCTCTGTCACACTCATTACAATTGCCAATATATTGCGCGAATCACCTCGCCCCTTGTCGACGTCAGGAATAGGAACTCGCACAGTAGTTCCCAAAGAAGCAGTGGGAAATTTTTTT